AGCCTCACTGAACATGTAACGAGTAAAATATTACTGAAAATTGATTAGTAATGCCTTACACTACTGCGTTACAGCAAAAAGTAATATGTTACTGTAATGCATTACTTTTGTAATGCGTTACTCCCAACACTGGTGGTTGGTATGTTTTTTTCTTCAAACTAAACTTGGGTCTCCAGCCGGCAAAGAATCCTGTCCGGCTAGCACACTTCCCATGATGTTTACGCGTTAGGTTAGTAGGTGGAGAGCAAGCAGTCTTTTGTGGCTGTTCGAACACATTTTGACCACAAACGCAATCCGGTGAAATGCGTTTTCAACTACCTCTGGAAGTAATCGAGAGTGGAGAAGCTCAGACCACGTTTACGCTTGTATTTAGCGTCGTCCACTTGGGATTCAATCAACCAAAATGCATCTTAATACCAGTAAACGGCCATTGACAAGCCAGTTTATTAGGACGTACATTTGACTAGCCAGCATGTGGATGTGGTTGTTTTACTTGAAGAAGTAGTTCTGATGAGAGAGCACTGATACTTCCCTCTTATTCCAAAATGTACTGTACCGTAGGTTTCGAATGCATTGTAACCAGTAGACTGTTTTCTGCATGGAAGGGCAGGAATGTGAGATTTCAATGGCTCTCTGTTTCTAACCTGCCTACATTACTGAGAGTTTTCTCAAGGTGACTGTGCCCAACATAGCTTTAATATTTAATCTTAAACACACAAACACACACACACACACGCACATGCTTACATACCCAGTGCCACTGTTCACCCTGGCTGTGTAAGGGAACGAGCATGGGTCATCCAATTATGTTCAGGGTGCTGATTTTAACATTGCAGGAGACAGTTTGAGTGAGGGACATCGCTAGACTTTTTAAATACTGCTGTGCCCAAGTGAAATTTTACTGATAAATCCTTGTCTGAAGGTATGATTACCATCCCAGTCTGAGAATCATGTTCCTATATAAGAATGCAATAATCATGTAACATGTGTTTTCTCTCTGCTGTTCATAATCAGAACTGTATAGCAACTGGCAAATGTAGTGATTGTACAATGACTGGAAAAGGAGTGTAACATCAAACACAATCCGTTTGGCTGGATTGCTGCGCTGTTTAGGGAAAAATGAGCTCTGCTTAGCATGTGGCTTCTGGTTCCTCCTTCCTCTGTTTAATGGTCTAGAATGATTGAGTGTTAGGGTATAAAATTCTCTCTCCTAATGGCTGAGGGTAGAGGGAAGAGAAGAAGGGGGTTGGGCGGCACGACAAAGACACATCTACCCCCATTGAGGCTTCATGCTGGGGCTGTCACCAGCTCACACACAAACACACACACACACACACAACCTCCACTCTCACACTGTCTTCCCTTTCCTCGCCTCTCAAATGTGCATTTGGCTGGGTCTGTTACAAAAGTGTGCTGCAGAGCTTGAACAAGCCAGGCCGGGGAACTGTGCAATCTAAATAGTCAGGGGGAGGGAGGGAGGGAGGGAGAGCAGGGGAAAGGGTAAAGAGGCAGACCCAGCCCTCTCGGTGGCCATTACGCTAAATTGTGGATCGATACTGGTTGTAAGTATGACTGAGCTCATGTTGAAAGCCTTCTGCAGACCTGCATATAATGACAGCCGTATAGAGCAGCTGCACAGATGGGCAGAGCATTACCAGGCCATGCATCACAAAGGGAGTGAGAGAATAAGAGAGGAGTAGTAAAACAATGGGAATCCCCTGGAGTTTTTGTAGCATTTTTTAACACTTTGGTTTTTCTTTTTCTCCTGCATCTACTGGTGCAGTACTGATGTGACTGGACCACAGCCATCCATTGACTTTCATCTGTAGGGGTCAAAAGGGATTCTTGTAGTCATGTGATATGGATTTAGAAATAAACCACCCTTTCTTTGTCTATGTCAGGGCACTGATTTTGTTCACACTTCTCTCTCCGTCTTGCTCTTTCTATCTCTCTTTTTTCTCTCCCTTTCACCACTTTATCGCCATTCAAATCAAGACATCTATGGGCATTTCCACTATAAGTTTGCAAAAATCTAACAATTAAAAGTAAATACACAACAACATTTTTAGCAAAACATTTTAGCGTGGTGAAATGCTGAAATGCTCCCACTTTGTCTATTTGTGTGCGTCCCCAAAAGAGTCACCAGAGAGTAGGACGATAAAACTAAAAAATAAATAAATAAACATAAATAAATAAATGTAATAAAAATTACAAGATACAAAAAGAAACATGCAAGGCCGAATCATTAACAATAAGATCAATAAGATGCATTTAGAAAATAGATAAAGTGAATATCAATTTCATGGCAACTAAATATCTTTAAAGCTGCAGTCCATAATTAAAAGATTAAAACTTATCTAAAATAAATTTTTGAGCAAAATACCAGCCAGTCTTCAAAACTATCTGCTTGCCTTAGCTTGAATCAAAGCGGTAAATTGTAATTGCAAATTGCAAAAGACTTCGGAGTAGCTACAAAAAGAGACTACAACCGGACCCATGCGAATACAAGGATAAATATCAGAAGGGCATTAAATAGTCACGCAATGCTGACGTTGAACATGATCAATTTGAGAACAAAGTATAATTTGCACGGTTTCACATGATTTGAATATAATAACTGATTGTTAGATTTAATCAGCGTGATTTACTGCAATGATTTTGTTTACCTTAGTTGTCAGAACAGAACAATTGTTACTTGTTCAGATGACATTTTCCGGTGAAAATTATTATGTTGGTCATACTTCCAAAAAGAATAATCTGTGATTCTGAATGGCAGTTTCCACACCGGTGCGGAGACTGACAGCCGCACACTCTTAAGAATCTCCTCAAACATTAGATTCATCCGCGCTGTGCCGTGTCGAGGCACAACTCACGTAAAATTGATAATTTCACGAATAATTGCAATTGCAGATTTTGACAAAGAGGAAAAACTGCGGATTGTAGCTTTAAATAACATAATATTTTTAATACATGTGAGAGATTTGGCATTGCTTTATACCAATGAAGGGAATTTTATTTTATGGGGAGGCAGGGAAGTGAAAGATCAAATGTCCTAATGTGTCAGGAACAGGAAAACACATCGAGTTTTGTGCCAAGGCTCCAGTATAGAACACATAGTGCTGGTGTATCCAAGCACTGCAGCTGTGGCTGCACAACTACGCACTGTGTAGAGAGCCTTTAAATCAAGATGCAAGCAGGGCCTCTCATCTCTTGTGCATGAAAGCTAAGGAAAAGAGAGGGGGAATAAGGGAGGAAGGGAGCGAGAGAGAAAGTTGAAGGAAGGAAGGAACAAGCACAGTAAGATGGGATGAGGAAACAGGACACCTTGTACAAAAAATTCCTCACTGGACCTCTCCCCTTAAATCTACAAACCAGAGTTTATTTTTGATGACAAACAGCGTCCTTTAGCATCAAATAAAATGCTATATGACAAAATGGCGCTATACTACGCACATGGCACCCGTTATCGTTAATATAACATGCGCTGTGATGGGTAGGTTTAGGTGTGGGGTAGGGTAGGGTAGTCTCATATTACGCGAAAGAATTTCTGACGCCTTGGGTGAATATTAACGATAAGGGGTGCCATTTGCGTAGTATAGCGCCGTTTTGTCATATAGCGTTCTATGTGACGCTAAAGGATGAGAACGGGCTGGAACTTAAAGTGAACGATATTATAGCGTTTTAATAATAATAATAAGTGATTTGGAAATGTGTGTAATGAACTTTCTTCAAAATATTCTATATATGAAGTAAGTTATACAGGTTTGGATTAACAAGAGAGTGAGTAAATCATGACACATTTCCATTTTTGGGTGAACTACCCCTTTAAATGGCGATGCAGCTGCACAATGTTTGTTTAAATAGCGTTTTTTCCACATAATACTATCCATTCTCATTTCACGAATGGTAAAGAGAATACGTTTTTCAGTGACTTTAAAAAAACAGTGAAGCCAGTGAGTTCATTCACCCATCCCACCCCCCTCAGCTTTAGAGAACATTCCTTTCATAAATCTGTATGGCTGTGTGTTCTCTCTCTTTTTTTTTTTTAAGAAATCCGAGAATTCGTGCTTGGTATGTGGAGGAGCTCATTATAGTGCCTGCGGAGGGCACTTGGGAACCTTAAGATATTTCCAGCATCTTCTCTCGCAAAGCCTTTCTCATGCTTCTCACAGACACACACAGAGTGGTACAAACACACCCTGTAATCAGTCCTGTGCATTAGCACTTTTTATGTGCAAAAGGCCCTCTTTTCTTGTAGATAGTAGGTGAGAGTAGCATGTTTACAGTTCTTGGTTTCTGAGCTCTTCCTATTCCATGTTGTTCATTTGTCCATGTGTTTTCCTTTCTATGTAGAGGCCATTATTTGTGTGTGTGTGTACATGTAATGTAAAAGTATCTAAAGGTATTATCTTGTCTGTCATGGCCACTCTCTCCCTTTCTTCACAGTGTCAGAGCTCCTCCTATCAAGAAGAGACCTTTCCCAGTCCTGTCCCCCCCACTGCAGTCTTCTGCATTGTGCGGCATTACCCTCCTATTATCCTGAAACCTATTTCCTACTGTGAAGAATAAAAATCAGTTTCTCTGGTCTACCACAGCCTGATTGCTGAGTTAAGCCTCTGAACAGACATTTGCTTTCATGGACATGTTCCATGTTACTCAAAACAACACGTGTCTGAGGCCCAGCCCCACAGAACAAATTTACAAAGTCAATGACTCTTGGGACATTGTTGAAATGGTGACTTGCCAGTCAGATCTCTACTATCACACAAAATGGCGGTAAACAGGCCTTGAACGTAACAGTCGCAGCTCTCTACAGAACACCACTTTTGTATCAATTTAGAGTCAACGCTGCACATGCTGAGCACATGCTATTGAAACAAAATGTGTTTGCTCTATGCATTAGATTGCATCATACATTTAATTGAAATCTCTTTTTGTATTGAAAAACAAGTTCCACCCATTCAGCACAACATTCACAGAAGTGCAAAAAAGAAAAACAGTTTTTTTAAGGTATAACAGAGTGTTTTATTTTCTAAGCCAAGCCATTAAGTTAAAATGAACATTACCCACTGATTCTCCCAACATGAAAATTTCAAAATGCTTCATCCTCAAATCTCCGTATTACATGGTGAAAGAAATGTGGTCTAAATTGGATTATATACTATTAAATGCTAATCCAATAAACCATTTTAATATGCATCAGGCTCAAACACAAAAGATGATTTTGTTCATTCAAATCATTTTACCATTGTTACTGTCGTGCATTTCTGTTCTGCCATCTTGTTTTTTTATTTATTTTATTTTCTGTTCAAATGTAATCATCATCTCTCTGGTTTACATATTCAGCTAGGCCTGCAAGCTCACCCTCACCAATGACAGCAGGACACCGGCCACAAAGACTTCAAAGACCAACCGCTCTCTCTCTCTCTCTCTCTCTCTCTCTCTCTCTCTCTCTCTCGTTTCCTTTTATGCTTTCATCCTCACTGTTTCATTCTTATTTTGTTTCTCACACTTAGCTCTTGGGTGGTTGTTTTTCTTTTTGGTTAACCAGAAATTCCTTTGCCTGAGAGAACACAACAGGCGTTTTTCACATTTATTTTCAGAAAGCCTGTGTTGTCAGACGATTGTTTCATTTGTTTGTTTGCATCAATATGGGATTCACATTTAAGGTTTGTTCCTCAGATTAAAATCGACTCACTGTGGCACCTCTACCATGTCGCCAATCATAGTTGGAACCTGAAAGTCAGCATCCAAACTCAAGTCCTTTTTCATTTCACAGTCACTCAGCACTTGAGGGGGTTCTTTGTCCTTCACACCATTTACACATGCCTCAACCGGGGACCCAAGGACATCCAAAGAGCCTATGTCTGGTGCCTGCTCATGGCACTCCCCATTTACCTCAGGGAGAGCTGACACAGATTCCTCTGCTGAGCCAGAACTCTCACAGTCCCCATTATTCAGCTTCTCTTCTATGACAGTCGGGGCAGTTTCCTCAAGGCAGAGCTCATTGGTCGAGGTTGATTCCAAGATGACAATTGTGGGAATAGACTCCTCTGCAATCTTTTGCTCTGTCGTAGGTTCGGGTTGTGTTGGCTCTGCGGGTGGCAAGGGATCTGCTTTTGTTAGTGTGACCTCAGGAAGAGCAACAGTTTCAGACTCAGGCTCTGTGACTGTTGGGGTTTCTTCAGGGGAAGGCACAGCTTTTTCGACCTCTGCCACACTCAATGCCTCGGAAACAGGTTCAGGCGCTGGGGTAGACTCGACGACCGACTCTGGAGCTACTGCCTCAGTGACTGCCTCTTGTTCTGGTGTGACCTCTGTGGTTTCACTGACATTTGCAGCCACCTCAACCACCTTCTCTACTGCCTCCTCTATGATAGGTTCTACTGGCAAAGCTGCAAGTTGAGGTGATGATACTGGCTCCTCTGGCACAGGGGCAGGATCCTCAGGTTCAGCTGCAGATTCCTCAGCTTCGGGGACAGTTGCATGTTCCTCAGGTGCAGCTGCATGTGTCTCGGCCACAGCTGTTGGTTTCTCAAATAGTGTTATCGGTTCCTCTGCCACTGTTGCCTCTGGCACATTCTCAAGTTCTTCATGTGTTGTAGGAGGATCTTCTTTCACTGGTGTCTTCACTGGTTCTTCTGCAGTCACAGGGTTCTCGGTCACTGGTGTCTCTGGTACAGCAGCCGGTTCCTGGAGTGTAGCTGCAGATTTCTCTACTGCTGGTGCGGTTGTTGGTTCCTCAGGTGCAGCTGCAGGTTCTTTTGTTACTAGTTGCTCTGGAGCAGAAGTCTGAGGTTCCTCGGCTGCTGGTTCCTTAGGTGCAGCTGAAGTCTTCTCAGCTGCTGCTGCCTCTGGTGCAGCTGTCGGTTCCTCAGCTGCTGGTTCTTTAGGTGCAGCTGAAGTCTCTGGAGCAGCTGATGGTGTTTCTACTGCAGCTGCTGGTACCTCTGCTGCCGGTGCCTTTTGTATAGCAGCTGTTGTCTCGACTGCTGTCGCTGTTAATGCAGAGGCTGGTACCTCTGTAGCTTGTGACTCTGACACAGCTGCTGGCTTTACAGCTGCCGCTTCCTCTGGAGCACTTGCTGGTTCCTTAGGGGCAGCAGTAGATGCCTCTGTTGTAGCCAGTGGTTTTTCTGGTGCAGCATCATCCTTCTTCTCCTCTGCTTGTGCTGTTGAGGAAGATGCGGTTTTCTCAGCTGGTGTTTCAGACTCCAGCACTGGTGCAACTGCATTTACTGCTGCAGCCTCCTGTGGTGCAGCCTCCGCCTCAGTCACAGGGCTCTCTGCCTTCTCTGATGGTTCAACTGCTGCCACAGCACTCTCCTCTTTCTTCTCTTTAGGGTCACTGACATCGTATCCCTTCTTCCGTTTGCTTAACTTGCCTCCCATGATGTCCTGTGGGAGCAGAAGAACATCTTATGTAAGCTATGTACATCACTGCGTTTCAATATCTGCACATGTATTTGGCAGATACCGTTATCCAAAGCAATATCCATTGCATTCATTCAGTGAATACATTTGGTCTAAAACTCCAGTGGTTAAATAACCAACCTTCTTAGAAGCTCATTATGGATATGAAATTGTAAAATGTAAAACTGCCAACATGACCCAGCCCATTTCTTCATTTAAAAATCCCTCACTCATTCATTTCAAGCAAATGCAACCTCTGTCAAGGACTTTGAATGCAGTCCAGCTATGTTAAGAAGGAGAATGTAGCGGACCAACAGCGACTGGATGGGAATGTCACTTTGTTCAATAATACTATTGAATATTGAATAGTATCATTTATTATTGAATAATAATCACTTAATATTATCCAAATAGCCAGTCTTACAGTGTTATGGCAGCATGTGATTATTGTATATATAATGGGGTAGAAGGATCTGAAATATAGCACTTTTAATGTCTCAATCCTTGCCCTATCTTATCGCTAAGTTCAAAACCAACAGGTCCGTGTACTTTATAATATCTTATTCTTAATTTTTAATTCTATCAGTTTGTATACAACATTAGTTTACAACATTAAATAAAAAAACACTATCATTTCATATAAAAATCATTCACTTCTCTTATGTTTCATGTCTGGTTTGGTTAGTATATACTGCTGCTTGGTTTGGGGAGATGAAAAGATAAGATTCAGGGAAAAGGCTGACTATAGATCACATAATATAGGCCACATTTGTCAGTGCTACTGATGCTTTAATTTGTTCTTTTGAAAATCCAAATGAAAGCTTTCATCATACAACAATATTTTTTTATTGTAACTGGCAAGTAATCTAATTAAATTGTAGAAAGTTGATATGTTTAAATTAGGGCTGTCAAGCGTCACATAATTACATGATGTGCAGATTAATTAATCGAATCAATCACAAATTAATCACACATCAAATTTGGCTGAGAAATTTATCCCAAAAGATGTTTTAAAGTCATTATTGTGTTAAATTAGAAAGGATATATATATATATATATATATATATATATATATATACTCTCTCACACACACACACACACACATACCCAGTCTTATATACGGAAAGTAAAAGTAGTACAGGTTTGAAACAACATGATGCTGATTAAATAAATGATTCTTTCATTTTTATTAGGAAAACTATTCCCAAAATATGAAATTATATTATTATTATTTTTTATGAAATTATGCTCTTAATAACAAACTAAACTTCCAGGTGGCAGTAAATGTCTAAATGACTAAGTTATTGAGTCATTCATTTATTTGATTCTTCAATGGTTTGATTTATTCAAGAATTAAGTAAATAGGTGTGTTGACATAAGCGGTGTGCTTTGAAACGCTCTCGCTTTAGGCTACTGTATTGTCATACACCGATCAGTCTGTGCAGCGCCGCTTCAAGTCATACACACCTATTATGAATGGGCCTTGGTTCAACCAATTGATTCGCTCAAAACGTTGATTCTTTTAGCAACAAAACACTGCTGTGTGTAATTTTGCCCAGAGATCTTGATTTTAAGGGGCATTCTAGCTGCATTCTATAGGCTACACTGGCCTGCATCATGTTCATCACCAATCAACTGTATGAAATGTAAGACTTTTCTGGGGCGGGGCGGTGATCATTAAAGCATTATTTTCCCATAGCTAATTAATTAAATTAACTTGTTAAATAGACAGCCCTATTGGAATTATGAAAGTGTGAGGTAGATTATTATTTATTCATTTAGTATTTATTTGCAACATATTATGGTACCAATTGCAACCTTTTAAAAAGCTGCAGTTATTGCAACTCAGTTGACTAAATTAAATATCACTTAAACTGCAGCATGGTGGGGTTACAATAGGAGCTGTCCGTAGTACTGCACTGCACTGGGGCAAACAAAGACCGGATACGCAGTCATGCCCCAGTCCAACCTGCAAATGAGTCCAGCTGCTGAGATGTGCTATAGTGCCTAGTCAGCGCTCACTGAAGACAGCTTTTATTAGAGCCTCTCACAGCGCTCTGTGCCAGAATGCTTCAGTTCACAGCCTCCATTAGCCAATTCCAGCAAATCTAGATGAAGTTACTCATTAATATGATGTAAATAAATCTCCTTAATGACGGTATGAAAGTTATGTCCTTGAAGTCGTGGTGAAATACACCGAGTCAAATTGGCATATCCATTGCTGCGGGTTATAACAATTAATCATCAATGTGTAATGATCAGTCCTAAAAATGAAAAGCATAACACGAAAGAGGAAAAATGTATATTTTGATTGGCTATTTATTTAGCCTATATTTTTAAGTAAGACACACTACCGCCCACCCCCACGTTAGCACCCCCCCCCCATCCCCATTCATATCGATCAGCTCCTCCTTACGTCGGAATAAGATTTTTTATTAGTGCAAATAAACGCAATTTCCTTAAAACATTGCTTTCCATAGCAAGACGAAATTAAGGGAAATCGAAATACAAGGGGTTAAACTGTAAGAGAGCTACCTGTAACCCACAGCTCCATAAATAAAATAAAAGCTTACTTTAACTCATATGTTGATCTCTCTGTATAGCCTACATTTAGGAAACCAGTCACACATTCCCATGATAATTTAGAAATATTAAATGTGACATTTGTAAAGTGGCATTCAGATATTTAAAGGAAATAATAAAGAAAAAAATAACGTAGCCTACTATAGGCTACTTAATAATCTAATTATGGTAACCTATTGAGCATTTTTAGTTTTCATAAGTGACAAATCAGAATTGCGAGAACAAAGAACGGCTCGTGCAGTCTGCATTGTTCAAATACTATCTCCTGCACCAATAAAACGCTTTTATAAACGTTTTATAAGTGATTTTCCCGTTATTTAAAGAGACTATAAAATCGAGACTAACATTTTACTAACCTGTCTTTCAGTTTCTGTTGAAATCCGCTTGAAAGAGCGTGTTGAATGTACTTTCTTTTCTCCTGTAGTAGTGAATGTGATTCAGTCAGAGCCAGTCCTACTCTCTCCCTGAGGTCCAATATGCGACTGGGCGTTTTTTCTTCTTTCACCCCTCCTGTTCAACCCCCGGTTTGTGAGACATCTGTCGTTATCACAGCCTCTCCTGCCCACTGCCCACAATCCATATACCCTCCTTCTCCTCCTCCCTTCCCTTCCCTTCCCCCTCACGTTGGGTGCATATTTTAGCAAGATTAGATGGGCATTATAATGGGTTTTGGGAATAATGCCCCCTTTTCTTTCACTTTTTGAAGTGATCACTATAGCAACCGTATTCCTTTGACTTGAAGTTGCTGCCTTTTTTCCACCTGCTTGATTGGTTTTAGCATGCATATCTCTCTCTCTCTCTCTCTCTCTCTCTCTCTCTCTCTCTCTCTCTCTCTCTCTCTCTCTCTCTCTCTCTCTCTATGTGTGTGGAAAGTAGGGGGTTACAGCAATTCTCCACCCCCATGGCTGAAGGAGAGGAGAATGAAGTGAATTGTAAGCAGGGCCTTCGGATACAGACGTCCACTGATCCTGTCCTAAGCAGTTATTCTGTAAAAGGAAGCAAAACTTAAGGTAACCATTGCTTAAACAGCAAAAGGCATTTCAGTTATCTTGATAACACCGGATGAGTCAAATACTCTTCGTGTCTGTAAACCACCAGATTATTGTTTTCTGATTGACATTTATGTCACAAGGCAGAGAAGTCAAGAAAAGTGTAAGAGATCATGAGGTCATCCCTAATTATACATTCCACTTTAAGCGGTCTAATACATGGCACTCTTGTGTAATTTCGCTGCTCTGTGTCAATAGTAAAGTCAGAAGCGCAATGAAATTCTAGGCCCGTTCATGTGTACCCTAAATAAAATGCTGAGTACATACAAACTTTTATAATAAGCTTTAGATTAGATTCAACAAGCATCTATTCTAAATGATATGAGCTCTAATATCTTATGTGCCCTCCAACCAACCATTTTTGTGATTTTTTAACAATACAACAAACTTAAAATCTTCATTTTGAAGAGCAATGAATTATGTAGACCTAACTGTATCGCAAAAACAGAAAAATGCTAAATTATGAATTGGACCTGCTTTGCACCTGTCTGTGACAATAATAATCAATCCTTATGTAAACAAGCCAATTCTATATATTTGATATAGTTTTTTTTCTCATCCCAGGCTCATGATTAAATCCCACTGAGGGGAGGAATGAACCAGCGCCGCCCTTTCATCACTGTAGACACATGGAATGCTATGAAACATGGTCGTGGGAAACCAGTTTCCCCTCTGTAGTTCTGCGTGTTTTACAGTACAGCTTGCATTTTTTTGTCAAGATTAGAAATTCAACAATCCGACACAGGATTTTACTGTCAGATACTAAATATGAGGTTGTGGTGGGAAGTGAAAAGTGTAAATGTTTTGTTTCTTGACAGTTTCAATTATCTACATTCATGTCTAAAAACTGCACAGTGTTTTGATTTCGGTCACACAGCTGGTTTGTTGGTAATTTGTTAAAATGCCCAACTATTCCAGGCAGAGAGTTCAAGGTTGCAGTGTTCCCACAGACTCTGTGAAGCGTTGAAAGGTTTATGATCTGTGAGCTTCATGCCCTATAGAATGTTTGGCAAGCATTACATATCTGTGATTAATCATAAGTCTCATGTCAAAGAAACAACAACAAAAATGTTAGCTTGTGATGCAGCTTTCTTTTGGGGGGGAAAGAAGACAGCAGCCTCTAGTGTCTGAAGAATGATGGTGCATCAGAAGTAATGGCCAGATCTCAAAGCCTGTGAACATGAGGATGCGAATATTGATGACAGAATGACAGGTATAACATTTCAAAATAAGAAGTAATTTTTCAAGTGGAAGGCTTATGAAAGCTAGATAAAAAAAGATGAGTCTTGAGTTTAAGACTCACTGCAGTTAACTATATAGACAATAACAACTAATAAAATGACAAAAACGCAAGAAAAAAAAAAGGCATGTACAATAATTAATTCAAATGTGATGTTAACAGAGGGCTTGGTGCTTTGACTCAAGTCAGTAAAATAACTTTTTCTTGACAGCAGGGTGTTAATGGCAAAAGAATAAAAGCAAGATCAAGTTACAGGCCTGTATATGAGTCAGGGTTTTGGCATGCTAATTGTCCCAGGAGACCCCAGTCTTACCCTTCCGCTCTTGCCAGTGAAGCACAGTTTCAGTTTGCAGGGCCATATGGAGCAGCCTGAGGGAATCGCCTCTAGATGTAATTGTGGCAGTGCCTCAGCTGTCATCCCTTCACCCCAACACTTCATTTCGGGCCTGAATGATGTGGACCTTTATTATCTCAGCACCTATAAGCACACATACATTAGGTGGGGTCTTTTTTTCTATTCTTTCCATATTTGCCTATTGTAGTTTTATTTTACTAGTTTCCTCTTTGTACCAACATTTATATATATATATATATATATATATATATACCTGTTTAGGTCATAATTTGATAATTTATTTAATGGTGTGATGCACATCTTGCGTGTTCAAGTAGCTATCTGCAAATGCACTTTTGTCTTGAGACAAAAAAAAAAAAATTAACAACTGCTTTTCTTTGTCCATAATTTATTTACTACTTTTACATTATATGAATTATTTGCGAAAGTTTGTTTTTAAGTTTAAGTTCTCTGTTGGAAAAATGATGGGTCTCACGTTTTCTTGTCATGTGATTGTTCCACCGGCAGATGTCGTCACTGCACTTTATCGAACCTTTTCTCGCAAATAAATAAATAAAAATAAAAAAATTAACAATAACCTACACTAACGATTAAACTCAGTTCTTGAGAAGAATGTTTTATTTGGTTAAAAACGCAGTAGGTATTTATGAATTATTCAATTTGTTACATTATATTTAAGTGGATTTAAGATATAACCTACTTCTCAAACGTTACAATTACAAAGGGTAAAATGAATCGATATAGTGAAACAAAACAAAAGCTTAAAATCTGCAAACAATGACATTTTAGGTCTAGGCCTACTATAAATAAGTGGTCAAATGTGACCTCTAAAGATAATCAACACTTTTATTAAACAGTTGTTGTTTCTGTTTACATCTGGTAATACTCAAAGCGATTCAGGTCTTCGTTAAGTTACCCCTTCTTTGAAGACAGGTCCAACATCTAGACGGGGGTTTAGATCGTAGGCTAAGTTACGTTATGTTATTTATTTATTTATTTTTACGTTAAAAAAAAAAAAGTTATAATAACCATAGACTGCAAAAAAGGTTATAACACGTAACAGGCCTATCTATATTGTAATAAAATGTGCATTTAGTCTAGTTCACTCTATATGCGTGGACCAGTTTCCTCTCCTACATATTTATTTAGGTCTTCACCATGAAAAAGCAAACCGCACAACCGACCTCAGATCAGCGCGCTAATCACATTTACGCGCGCGGCAAAGTCTGAAATGACATCATTCAAGCCAACGCGGATAGTGCTTGCCTTGTCAAATGCCTGATCATAATTACAAACATCAGGGCAAAAAGTATTTTATGATTTAATGTGTCCTACATAGTATTTTAAACAAGCAAAGAAAAAAGTATGAGTTCTGAGGAACCATTCGGTGATTTTTGTTAAGTTGTGTGTCTGTTTGTATATTTCTAAGAGCACTGTGCGATAATTTATGACTCTTACTACGGCGAAGTCGTTCTTCATGAATATTAATTTGGTCACGCTGTCTTTGCTGTAAAAAATACAACCCGAACCGGTCATGTGCCTAATTAATATTCATGAATCAACTTGAAAACGTCAGCTTTTACTGGAAGGACGACAAAGTACGTGGTTAATATTCATGAGCTAGTCCTTCGCCGTAGTAGGATAGGCAGTTCGCGGAGCTTCTCATGTGAGGTCCTCAGGCGTTCAGTGTGTGCCTCCCTTTGTGCCTCTACACTCAAGATGGCTCCCGTTTTAGAGAAGAAGCTTTTGGGCGCAGCTGGGACAGGCGACACTATGGAAAACAGTAACGAGGATGATGAAGGACAAAACCTCTGGTACGCTCGTACCCTCAAAGTGTCCAGAAGTGCAGCGGTTTGTGCAAGGAGTCCGTTTATCTGACAGTGTGAAGTGTTGCTTTGTCACCAGCCGGGTGCTGCCCTGTTCAGACGCCGGTCCTGGATGAGCCCAAAACACTGCACATAAAATTAACTGCAAACAAAGTCTGGATTAGGGTAGATTAGACCTTTAGATTGGGCTGAACAATAAAGAAAGTATTTGGGACGCTAGGACGCAGATTGTCTCGGTTTAAGTTATATGGCCATGTCGTTGCTCACTGGTGGATGTTGTGTGCTATTTTGGCTAGCATTTAAACTCAACGGTTTTCATATTTGTGGTGTTCAAGTCGTTTCTCCTGAAGCTTTGCTTGTCTAGCTGCTAATAAAATTGAAATGCGGGTGATGATTATTGTCAGGAAACTGACTGCTGATTTGCTTTCTAACGGTTGATTGAAATCCATCTCTTGTGTGAGAGGTTCATTCTTGTAACGGCCTGTTTGTGGATGTTTTGGTAATATTATATTAAGTTGCTGGTATCTGCAGACGAAACTAAACATCCAACTACTTTCTACAATTTAAAGTCCCTGTCTGCTAATGTCATGAATGGCAAGTGATCGGTGGTCATTTGTTTTGTGTTTCAGGTCTTCAATCCTCAGCGAAGTTTCCACACGCTCAAGCTCTAAACTACCCTCTGGGAAAAATATAGTGCTTTTCGGTATGTGACATTTGTTGTTTTCTTGAATATTTTTTTTTTTCAATCAAAATTCATAGCTTAATAAATGCGCATTTATGTTTTGCCTACAATATCGACGTACGCTGCTTCATTTGAATGTGCAACCTTCAGCAAACGTTGTTCCAATCATGTATGGCTTAATGTTTTTCTGTTGAAGACAAATTAAGATATTTTAAAGAATGTTGGTATTAATCAAACTGTTTTGGTTATTGAATTCCATGGTATGGAACAAAACAAACTAAATCTATTTTAATGTGTTCTACATAAGAAAGAAAGTTATGACAAGAGTGAAAGGAATGACAAGAGTGTATGAATAATCACTATTTTGTTTTTATTTTAGTTTTTGGTGAACTATAGTTTTAAGTTTGTCCAAGGTATAAAGCTGAAATAATCTTCATTGTCTTAACACGTAAGATTGTGTCATGATTTATGAGTGATATGATTTCTGGTGTTTTAGGGGAGGATGGTTCAGGAAAGACGACACTCATGGCAAAACTTCAAGGAGCCGAGCACAGTAAGAAAGGTAGAGGGCTGGAATACTTGTACTTGAACGTCCAGGATGAAGACAGAGAGGGTAAGTGATTGAAACTGGGTCAAAGAAGGTGATAAAATGATTAACAAAATAATATTTAAGGATTATGAAGCTTTTGCTGTTTTAATTGCCTTTTTTGTGTTAAAAGGCTGCACTATGAAATTGAATTGTTTTGCAAACAAATAGTGTTGAATGCCAAAAAATATGAATGATAAATACCGGAATTTTATTTTATTTTGGGAGCATACTCCCTATGTAGAAGAAAATGCAGTTTATTCAGGTTTTAAAAAACAAACAAACATATATTTACAATAAACTTTTCCAGATTTAACTCGCTGCAGCGTTTGGATCCTGGATGGAGACCTGTACCACAAAGGCTTGCTGAAGTTTGCAGTGACCACTGAGTCGTTGAAGGACAGTCTAGTTGTGTTTGTGGTGGACATGTCACGGCCTTGGACCATCATGGAGTCGTTGCAGAAGTGGGCGAGTGTGCTGCGTGAACACGTGGACAAACTGAAGATCCCACCTGAGGAAATGAGAGAGATGGAGAAGAGGAGTAAGTGCCATTTTGCTTTTACTACTGGGCTGTAGTATTAACACCTTGGGCCGGTTTCACAAAGCTATCTTAGACCTGTCTATGGTGTTAGACAAGTCTAAAATTTGCTCATAAACTAGTCTAATGCAAGTTAGACTGTTTCACAAAAATAAAGACTGACTTAATTTAGAACAAACATTTTTTTTTTTTTTTCGGTCTGATTTAGATCTGAAGTCTGAATATCTACTACTATATCTAACTATGCCATAGTCAAAGTCTATCTTTGTGATGCTGGCCCCTTGCTGTTTGTTTGTAGGGGTCATTCAGATTCAAGGGATATTATGGGTGATTATAGCATATGCATATTGTCTTATTCATGAATAGCTGCAGGATATCTGTTCAACTAGAGGAACTTTTGTGCAGCACCATATATATCAGGCCGGTGGGAATATGATACAGCAGCTGAACATTTATGTCTCCGTTTTCAAATGTTCCTTCTCTGGTGAGAATAGTTTCTTGTCTTGTATTGGTTGCTACATTTACATATTGACAGTACAGTCAGTGACAGATTGTGCAGAAAGTTGCGGTGCAGTAATAAATACACTAATAAATCCCTCATAACATAGCAGGTGCAGAGGTTGATTTTGGTTTCTTTTTGAGAATTCAGTTGATAATATAGGAAGTTATGTGAAGTAGTCCTAATCTAGTTTTATTATGAGGGTTATGAGAGCAGGAATGCCTGCACTGTACGATGGTTTAATGGCAGTCTAGATATGAAGCAGTCTTTGTGCTTTAAATTTGCATGACCCATGTTGTCAGACTCTTGCTGTTAGAGTCAAAGTGGTCACAAATACTGCCTCACAAGGAAGTGTTACCTAGTTGAAATTAAACATTTGCTGATAATCATCATGTTTTTTTTGTTTGTTTTTGTTTTTTAAAAACCTTGGTAATTAGATAATGCACTGCAGTTTAAAAAATTGATGGGGTCAGTAAGATTTGTTTTGTTTTTTCATTCTCTTGCCAAAACAGTTAAACATTACAGTTAAAAATGTAATTTGTTAAATATTATTCCAATTTGTTTAACTGTTTTCTATTTTAAATCTGCAGTCCTTAACTTTTGGCACTTTAGTGGTTAATAAACAGAACTGCATGTGTCTGTCTTCTAAATGGTAATGTCAATCAGGGCTTGAAGTGAATATTTTGGATTTCTAAAACATTTGACTGACCATACATTTGATGGCTTGAGGTGTTTTGCTTTATGAAGACTTTAAGCCCATTAGTGTTTGAGAAGTGTGATTGTGAAGAAAGAGGCAGAGTCCTCAGACATGAAGTGAGAGGCTATTTCTGAGGATGACTGTTTCTGCGTGTGCCCTATAAACAGGGCTGTGACAGCAGAATGGGGAAGTGGCTTGGCAATGGTATTGTTTTTTAGCTTCCATATGAAATACAAAACCCAGTGGTTTTACAACACATTTGAATGGCAGTTTTTGAATCTCTAGACAGTATGATCATCTTGTTTTGTGATGTTCATCCTTCTCTTTTTACAGAGAACATGCTTTCTTTGATGATTTTCAGTGTTTTACTTTAACAGTTAAAACATGTGATTTAAAATGTTTCATGGAAACTGACCCACCCTGAAAAAGGGCCATTGCTTCCTTAAGGAAGCACAAGCAGCCTCTGCTCACTCCTCCTCACATCTGACCGGATTCAGTGACGTCAGCAGCACTCTAGTGGGAAGGGCAGTTCAGCCTCTCTTACAAGGCGTTGCATCATGGTCTGCTCACTCAGACGTTCCTGATATTCAACTCATTGTTTTTAGCATGGCATGAGAGCAACACCCAAGCACAACTCAAACCACTGTGCTAAAACAAACTGTCTCACAACTCTTAGTCAGCTAACACATTGACCGAACATTTTTTTTTTTTTTAATTTAGAGAGAGACATCAGGATGTACTTTGGAAATACTTGTTCAAGTATTGTTCAGATGTGGCCTTGTAACTACTTTTTTATAAACATATATTTATTTTATTTTTAAAAAAATAAAAAACACTACTTAATCGGTATTTACTTTTTTGTTTTCTATCATGTTTTTAGATGCACTTGTTAGCGCTCTGATGCCTTCATGCCTGCAAATGCACACTGGACGTGTGTAGTCTGTTGACTGTCCCCACCCTTGTTTGTGGTAGCTGGTCAAAGTCGACAGTAGAAAGTGATTGTAAACTGGTGCTTCTTTTGATTGAGACTATTGCATTAAGTCATATTGATTAAGAAAGTTGCAGATTATTTTTTTTTACCACAACTTCAATGTTGATTGTCTGGTGAAAACAGTCTGATAAAGTTAATTAAAAAAATATGTTCACTATGTTTTTCAGCCTGAGTTTGTTTAGAGAACTGTGGAGATTACGTGAGGTAGTAGAATCAAGGGTTTTATATAAAAATGTCTGCAGACGGTGCCATGTGATATTGAGCTCTTGCCTATTGGCTATTATCATTTAAAAAAGAATCACTAGATGCAGATGTTAACATTGGCTTGCCTTCTGGAAATAATTAAGATGGACTCTTTGTCCAAAAAGAACACGGTAGTTTATTGGTTTGCAACAGATTATCTTGATCTCTGGCTTCTGTGGAAACATACACACTTCACATCGCTGGGTGAGTGTTGGTAACTGAGTGTGATATAATTAGTAAATAAAGAGATTGAATCCAGTTTATACACTACCATTCAAAAGTTTGGCGTCGGTAAGGCTGCATTTATTTAATCAAAAATACAGTAATATTGTGTCATCATACTATTACATTTTAAAGTAACCATTTTCTATTTTAATATATTGCAAATTGTTTTATTCCTGTGATTGCAAAGCGAAATTTTCAGCAGCCATTAATCTGTAAAAAAAAAAATAGTAGTGACCCCAAACTTTTAAACGGTAGTATATGTTAAATCTGCTTTTAGGACTGGCATGTCTGTTATTCCTGCAGCATGTTGTTCCATTAACAGTGCGCTAAAGGAAGTTGTGCAGCTTGCCTGGTTTCTGGGTCATCTGGAGCTGCATTCTTAAGGTTCCTGAGGAAGTTCCTCCCCCCTTTCCCTCACTCACCACCTCCTCAATCTACCACCAATAATAGACCATTCCAGCCACATTCTTCCACACATCAACACCATGCCCTCTTCATATACTCCTGTGTATTTAACATTGTTTTGAGTTGCTGTGTCTGAGCTCTACATTACAGAACACAGGAAGAGTCTTGAGAATGTGCTGTCAGCTCTGTTCTCTTGAGCTGCTCTTCTACAGGCATCGGACGCTCAAATGTGTCCATAACAAGTCATGATTTCAGGCAGTTTGAGTTGCCCAGATAATGACCTGTTTGGGCAAAAAAACATGCTACAAATCCTTGCCAATGCTAAGATTTATTTATGTATTTTTTTTTTCTTTTTTTAAATGTAATCTTTTTTTTTTTGGACAGACTGTCTGTTTGGGTCTTATGTAACCTGACCGGGATGCCCTAAATATGTGGATGTTCTCTATATTTGTATGGCTTTTTATTGGTCGAGGCTATTTAATACTTAAAGTGATAGTTCACCCAAAAGTGAAATTTCTGTTCATTTACTACTAACCCTCATGTTTTTTAAAATCCATTGAATAAACCCAATCAATTTCCAAACACAATATACAAAGGTATCAAATCATGGTAAAAAGTTTAAATCCAGTCTGCGCTTTCTTTTTCTTTTGCGGTCGAATGTGTTTTCAATTACCACTAGAAGTAGTCGAAAGTGGAGAAGCTCAACATGTATTAGACCACATTTACACCTTTATTTAGCGTCGTCTACTTGTGATCCGAATCCGATCGACCAAAACAAATTTTAGTGAACAGGGCCTTATATAATAACTTTTACAGGTCCACTAGAAATTTGTTATGCCAACTAGCATTGTTGTGCCATTTAAAGAAACAGTCAAACTTGATGGAGGTTGATGATGGATTGATAAATTGTGTCGTCATCATCAATCTAATATAGCTATTGTTTAAAGGGGCTATGTGTAGGTTTTTACTTCTAAAAATCTTTATCCCCTTACTCGTCAAACAGCTCCGGTGACCCCAGATTATCACTGTTCTACCTTTATCGCTCATTTAAACATCACACACTACTTGATCTGGACAATCTCAGCAAGATTAAAGACTCCTGCTTTGAAATTTGACCACTCCTTACCAATACCCGAGATCAGTCTGATTAATGGTCTGGCCCTGGCGTACCTCTCTGAGCTGGTCACTGTATACCATTCTGCCAGAACCCTCCGCTCAGACCACCTCTTTGTGCACCTTTCTGGTGGGTGTTTTAATGGCGCTATATAAATAAAAATTTAATTGAATTGAGTCTGTTAAATTTTGAGTTTTGAATTGGAAGCTCTCATTTGGTTGACTTTCACAACACAAATATATGCATGTTGTGTCTATTCATAATGACTTATGAGCAGAAACCTTTTTATTTTGGGTATGTCATGAATGCATCACTTGCCAAAATTGGGGTTGAATAGAAAGGGGTTAAAAGAGTTTCCATTTGTACATTTATGAGCTAACCATAATGTGATAGAAAGAATGACACCTTAACTGTCCACCACTGTTGCCCTTAATCAGCCTGTAGGCTCAATTCTGTGTGTGGAGGAGTCAGGTCCCAATTGGCGTGTCATGCGCTTTCTCACCTTCTTGGGCTTACATACGTATGTCAGCCATTAGTTGCAGTGGCAATCGCTAGCAAATAGACTCTGCAGATGGAAAGAAGCGTCCAGCCTCCAGCACAATCCAGACACCCACGGAAACTCCTCGTAAGTAAAAAAAAAAAAAAAAGCCTTATCTAGCGCATCCAAAATAGAGAGTGACCGGCGTCGGGCAAAGACGAGTCAACATCGGAGTGGCGTTTGATTCTTTGAGGGAGCTTGTTATAAAATCAGACCCCGTGCTGTCAAACAATAACCTTACAGTCCTGTAACTTTTCTTACCTCAAAACATGCTGGTGAATCTCGATTGCTCTGGTTGCTGTGGTCATGCTCATACGAGCTTGCGCACCGAGAACGAGCATGAGACTGGCTGCAGTCTCTCTAACGGCCATTGGTGTCAGTAAGGGTTAGAAATTTTAGAACTTACGCAATGCTCCGTTAAACCCTATTGTCGTCTTGCTAGAAATTTATCTCTGCAAAATCTGTAGCCTTTGCTTACTTAAATGTTGCCATGTCTTGGATTTGTTGTAACAATAGTGTTTCAAATTGCAATGTGATGTAAGTTGTAATGTGATGCTTCTGTTATTTTTGACTTTATGATGTACCTACTGACACTGTTTACTGTAAATAAATGTGTAAAGGTTTGACCCTACTTGTGTGTTACTCTCCTCTCTGCAGTGGTTAAGGCCTTCCAGGAATATGTAGAACCAGAGGAAGCCACGCCAAGCTCGCCCCAGAGACGAGGGCCAGCAGCTGCGGGAGACGACGAGAGTGTGCTGCTGCCCCTGGGAGACAACATCCTCACACACAACCTGGGCATTCCAGTGCTCATAGTTTGCACAAAGGTAGGTGAAAGTGATCAAATCATTTAGCCTGTCACATTGGGTTTAGTGATCGTTGCATATCAGTATAATACATGTAATAAATACTTGCTGAATAAAAGTCAAGATAGTTTCTTTCAAAAAAAAGGCTTACTGACCCAAAACGATAATGTACGTCCTGTGTATAAATAGGAATTTGTAGGTATACTGTTATTTGAGTGGGTGTTTTGAGTTGTTTTGCTCAGTGTTAAGGGGATTTTGCTCTGATGTATCGAGTGTGTTTTTCCAGATGAAAAGCTCCCTTTATGGAGTCTCAGTAGCCTGCAGGTCCAGAGCTGCAGACTGACCATGCTCCCCTCACATGCTCTCTTAGATCAGAACATGCTCAATGTTCTCTACTATTGTTAGCCTCCCTTCAGCCCTGTGTGCATGCAAGACAACCTGTTTTCAAATGAGGGGGTTTAGGTCCGAGAGTAAAATGTTCGCTCTTTGTTCTCTTCAATGTCAAGAGGCAAAGTGATCAAACTCCCTCACCCTAGAATAGAGCCTGATTGAATTTCAGAATTGCAGTTCTTTCCAATTTACTTAAACACAAAGTCCTTTCTAATCAATATGCATCAGCATCATCGTTACAGATCTGCGGAAATGGCAGCATTTCACTGGCCATCTGCAACACCTATTAGAGGATAGTTCACCCAAAAATGAAAATTGTCATTTACTCAACTCTCGTGTTGTTTCAAACCTGTATGACTTACTTTCTTCTTTGAACACAAATGGTATTTTGAAGAATGCTGATGTCCAAACAACATTGGATGCCATTGATGTCCATTGTTTGGAGAAAAAAAGTTTTTAAAATGATCCTTTTCAAGATGTCAACTAAGGTTTAGTTTCTCAATTTAGAAATTGCATTGCTTCGGCACAACTTTCACAAGTATTATAGACAGGATATGTTTTATTATTGAGTGAGAGAGTATGTATTGTGGTTCAGTAGATGGTCAGTGGTGTCTGACATGCAGAAATGTGTTTGCATTTCCAGTGATGCTCATGGAAGCCTCCTGAGTTTAAGCAGCCTACTCGGCACCTCCTTTTCCTGCCAATGTAATAATTGCTGGCAATCGGTGGCAACCTGAGTCATTCATAAATGTGGCTGCTGCATCGTAATGAGTCCCATTGCGCATGTGTGTGCTTCTCTGCTATTTTTAGGATGGGTTGTCTGTGATATGCCCCATGGCTCAAAAGGGACGAAACAAAAAATGGGACACCTGAGAAAGCCAAACTGTTAAAGCAAGTTATTTATTAACAAAAAAAAAAAAAAAAAATACAAATCTGTGTAATGTAGTAGTCAGGCATCAGTAGTGTTATGCTAGATGAATGCATGAGTATGTAATGTGCAAAAAAGAAACAACCAAACAAATATTAAAAGCAATCTAATCAAATAGGTCGTGCACATCTACCATCCATCTTGCTTCTTTTAGAGGTGAAAATGGAAGTTGGCGTCTGGTGTCACCGACGTAATTATATGGGAGGGTGAAATAATCCGTCCAACCCTGGGGAAAACCCCATTAAAGACACAGGTCCTCACAGTCTGTCTTTTTAAAAACAAACACTATCTTAGAGCTTCAATACATTTATAAAGGGATGGTTCACTATTTTTGTTCTGTTCAAGTATAATGTTTTAAGACTCTGCACCTAAGACACCCTCTCAAGTGATTTATCTCTGTCTCTATCTCTTAGTGTGATGCTGTCAGTGTACTGGAGAAGGAGCACGACTACAAGGAGGAGCATTTTGACTTCATTCAGTCTCACATACGGCGGTTCTGTCTACAGTGTATCCTATACAAAAGCAGTCTCAATATATTTGCTTTCATAATCCTATACAGTAAACTGTAAAAAAATGTATGTAAATTTACAGCAAAAAAAAAAAAATGTATGTAAATTTACAGCAAAAAACAAACAGGCAGATGTGGTTGCCAGAAATTCATCGTAATATTTCCAGTATTACTATGTGGCATATTGGTCCTGTACATTTTCCAACTTCTAATAGTATATTTCATCAAGTTATTTAATGTTGGTATACCAATCTACTTGAAGTACCAAAGACTATGTGTAGGTGCCGTGGGCGGTATATCAAGTTTGTACGATATAGTGATATGTTTTTATAAAGATATTGAAGGATGCAATAATGTTCATATAAATAGAGAGATGCATAGACACAGATATTTGTCTTGAACATGAGACACTTTAGTTTGAGGTCTTTTAAAACAAATCGTAAGATTTAGTTAAAGTGATAGTTTACAAAAAACAAAAAAAAAGATTCTGTCATCATTTACTCACCCTCAATTTGTTCCATACCTGTATGAGTTTCTTTCACAAATCATTATACTTTATGTAATATTAACCCTTTTTTGCACATATAGATTGGGTTAGCCTACACGTTTACTTCATAGCCATCAGTAAGAACATTATTTGTAGGACATTGGACAGTATGTGAAATAACATTTTGCTTTAAATACTGTTAGTACATTTTTTTTTTTTGATTCAAATAGAAAAAAAGTAGAAGACATCTAGACATCTATCGTATACCATTCGTTTTTTAAAGGTGACCTGTTCGCAAAATGTGGTCACTGCTCGTTTATAGACATAAACTCAAAAACAGAATATGTAACCCAATACTGCCATAATGTTCTTTATTGATAACAACGAGAAGAAACCAAATTATTTACATAAAATAAAACATGTGATGTATAGTGCAGGTACTTCTGGGAATGTTCTTTCAGTTTTTAATAGTAAATTATATAGCAATTTATTGTTTTTACTTGCAAAAAATCTGTTTTACATGTAATACAATATTTGGCCATTTAGTTTTTACCATGTATGGTGAGGTGAACTTACCATAGCATTTTAGAGTAATTTGAATTCCTGTAAAAAAAATAAATAAATAAAAAGGTGTACTTATCCTTAATCAAGTCTCACAGATGGAGCTGGCTTGATTTACACTTCGGTCAAAGAGGAGAAGAACATAGACCTCCTCTACAAATACATGGTGCACAAAATATACGACTTCCAGTTTACAACGCCTGCCTTAGTGGTTGAGAAGGACACTGTGTTCATGTGAGATCTCTGAAATCCCCTAAAAACATTGCATTTATCATTTTATAATCTTATTTATCTATTTCTGCAAGAAAACCATGTCTAATTCAGTTTGGTGAAAGTCCGTCAAACTGGTTTGAATTAAAACTATTTTAATCTCTGCGTAGTCCATCTGGATGGGACAATGACAAGAAAATTGCCATCCTGCATGAAAACTTCACAACAGTTCGACCTGAAGATCCCTTTGAGGACTTTATAACGAAACCTCCTGTACGAAAGGTGAGGAGAGAAAACCTAGGAATGAGAATTTCCCCTTGGATTTTTCTGTTTGTTAAACATTTGCCTTTTTATCTCCTTTTTTGTCTCTAAAGTTGGTGCATGACAAGGAAATTAGTGCAGAGGAGGAGCAGGTCTTTCTCATGAAACAGCAGGTAGGAGAACAAACTTTTTTTTTTTAAGTTTTAAGATCAGGTTTCCTTCATTCAGTGCTGAAGTTAAATATTAGAAACGCAGCCAGAACATACCTCTACCAAGCAAGTGATCTCTACTATCAACACGCATTTCTCACTGTGCCCTTCTGCGGTCTCTCATTAGTTTGATTAGATGCAGTGAAACTCATTTGACTCCTCTGTGTTTTCATTGGCTGACCCAGTGTCAGCTGTTTAATTACACAATATTTGGTCATTTTAAAACAATAATTAATTTCTAATGGACATTCTACGCCAGCTTCTCGCATATTGGCACATTCTCTGGATGTTCACTGTGGGTCTTGTCAAATATCCTGAACAGCTCTGTGTGGTTTAATCAATTGTGAACAGTGTTTATGTGAGGGTTTTTTATTGAGAATGATCTTTAAATGCATGAATGTTTCACCAATCATTATTACGCATTTAGTGACCCGGATCTATATCTAACATGAATGGATCTCTGCCTGTCGCGATAGCATAAAAGTCCTGATATTAGAGTAACAATTAGAGAAGAATAAATTTGTTTACCTTTTGGATATTGGTTCAGTTTGAGCAGATGTTTTCAGAGCTCATTTCCCAGTACATTCAGCATCTGGCTCATATTCACAATCTCAAATGTGCTCAAAATTATCATTTTCCACATCTTTGAAATCAATATTTTGATCGCTGACTGCTTCTTCACCATCAAGTGACAGTGACACTAATATTTGTGTACTTGCTCTGCAGTAAATCACATAGCTATTTCAAAGTTTACTGATGATACTTCCTATTCTTTTATTTTCTGCCTGCGAGTGAAACGTCACTTATATCGTTTTGTATCAGACATAGTCCCTTGTGTGAACTGCACTTATTCAGTTATCAAAGATTCAATTTTTGTTGTGCAGAAAAAAATATACTTACACTGTTACACACGTCAGTTAGTGACACATATACAATTTTTACAAAAATGAATGGGAAAACAGGCATTCTTTTATTTTTTATTTTTTTTTAATTTTCTTGATGTATTGTTTTTAATGAATTGATTGAACTAAGAAGGTTGTTGTCTAACTTTGAAAAGTAAATGAGGAGGGTAGTGTATGATGTCCCGAGTCACTAAAGACCAGAGGTATACGTTTAAGGGTTAATAATATTAAGCTGCATGTAAACACAGTCACCGCTGTTAAGCGGCTCCTTTTGATTTCACCAAGTACATTCATTTCTTTGTCTTTGAAATGAAAAGATCACTGTCTGTGACATGGAAGACAAACAAAGTGTTGTGTATTAGCTATATAACTGCTGTTGTATAATACAAACTTCAGGACTTTTAGTCAAAAATAGTCTACCATTCAAAAGTTTGGCATCAGTAAGAAAAGTCTATATTTATTATACTAAAGCATATTTATTTCTTTGTTTTTTTGATCAATTTACCATACTCGCTGGAGACAGTAAATTTCTTTAAAAAAAAAAAAAATCTTACTGACCCCAAATGTTTTAACGGTAGCATATGCATTTCAAAATAATGATTAAAGCTTTTTATTAAAAATGTACATCTTACTTTATTACAGTCATTGTTATCTAAGCAGCCGGCCACACCCACAAGAGGAACAGTAAGTGTGACTTCAGACCTCACACTCCCCTCATACACTTAAGTGTGACACTGTTATGTTGCTTTGAGGATTTGGTGAGATAATATTTTGACACTTATGCTTTAGAGTTTTACAAAAGCCACCGAACTCTTTTGTAGGTTTAAATTGCATTTTAGATTTCCTCTTTAGTGATTTACGTATTGAAAAATCTAAATCTCCTGAATTGCTTTTGCATTTTTCTGACACCTGTTTGTTTGTTTGTTTGTGTGTGTGTGTAGGAGTCTCCTGTCCGGACTTCATCTGGTTCACCCCGGCCAACAGGCCGAACAGGGCCTACAAATGTGGCTAGTGTCTCACCCATGACCGCAGTGAAGAAACCAGACCCCAACATGAAAGGTAATATCTTGATGCAGAACCTAAATGAAGCTTTGTGTTCTCATGGCTCTCTGTTCATCAGTGCGGCACAAATAACACATGATTGTGCAGTCAAGCAAAAACAGTGTTTTCTTGAGTCTAAATATGAGCACTTTTTCTCTTTCTTTCTCTCTCTCTCTCCCACACTCATCTCATTTTGCTGGATCATCCCTCTGCCTCTGTCTTGCAGTGTCCTTCTAACCTCTTTAAAACACTGCCCTCCTGAGGAGACCATTGGATAATTCCCTAAACATTCTATTTCTGCTGGTTCCTGTTGGTGTGGGAAAAATGAAATGTTCACACCATTAACTAAGCTTAGGTGGAAAGCATATCACATACCAGCAGGAATAGATTCAGTTGCTTTAATGAAATAAACTTTTATTGATTCTTAAAACTTACTGCCCTGTAGGGTATCAGGTATCATATTGCACTTTTTTTATTTTTCAGTTAATAGCCTGCCTGTGAGCATTGTAGTTAGTACCATTGAAACCAAGGAACCATAGCCCTCCCCTTTCGGTGTTATAATGGTGGTAATTGTAGTTCTGTATGTGCTTTTCAGTAGTTCAGTGTAAATGAATTATCAGCTTGACCTCCCCATTTTCACTTGAGGTCATGATACTTAATTTATGTGCGTTTGTAGGAGCAGCAGCAAATGAGGGAGTGCTGGCCAACTTCTTCAACAGTCTGCTAAGTAAAAAGACCGGTGCGCCGGGCAGTCCTGGCTCACCAGGGACAGGAGCAGGAGCGGCTGTACAAGGGTCTGCCAAGAAAACAGGTAAATTCTTCCTTTTCTAGCCTCAAGTATAGGAACAGGTGAATCTCACAAAATACTGCTATGTATGGGTCATATCTTAGCCCAAAGTCTTGATTTTTATAACAACATTACTGTATTGCAAAACACAAGTCGTCCCAAGCCATTTGTCTGAATTTCATGAAATGGGGTGTGCACCATCCCAAGATACTCCTGACAAAAGTGATCAAAATTAAAGGGGCCACATGATTCGATTTCTTGTTTTCTTTTTTGTGTGTTTGTGTTGTTTAGCTGTTTGTGGATGTATAATATCTGCAGAGTTACAAAGCTCAGTCTCAAACCCAAAGAGATATTCTTTGTAAAAGGCTCAGCCATGCCTTCCTAAAACGCTTCATTCTAACACGCCCCCACAAATCTTTGGGGGGCGTGTTTCATAAAAGAGTTTCATAACCCCGCCCAAATGTATACACAAAGAAAGAAGGCGTAACTTTTATTCTCACTGTATTGTTGTTGCCGACATGTCGTGGAGACGGTATGTTTTTCGTTGCGAAAGCAAAACTACTTTGTTTGGCTTTCCCAAAAAAAAAGGACACAATTAGGAAAGTTTTTAAGTTTTGTTAACAACACTGTTCTAGAACAGTACAGCCAAAATATTCGACTGTGTGCTGGGCATTTTTCGAAGGAGTGTTTCCAGAACCTGGGAGAGTACACGGTTGGCTGTGCAGAAAGGCTGATTCTAAAAAATGGGGCAATTCCATCTTTGCATTTACATTTTGGCACTTCTGACTCATGAAACACTAAGTCTCTGTCTATTTTAAGAATTTGCCACTGACTATTCAAACGTGAGTTTTGAGCAGTATAGAGTAGCGCTTCTTTGTTGTTTCTACGATCAGAAATGCAGACATGGTTTTATGTTTATTTAGTGTTGCATAGATCTGATTTTCCAAGTATAGTAAGGGCCGTAACATTTCTGTCACACGCTTAATGTATTCGTGCCATTCACAATTCACTGGATCACTGGCCAATCAGAGCACACTGCACTTTTCAGAACGATGAGCTTTGTAAAAATCTACACGTTTCAGAAAGGCGGGCCATAGAGGAGCAACATGTACAGTATGTGTAAAATAATGATATTTATTTTTTACCTAAAATTGCATAAACATTGCATTAAACCAAATGCACCAAATATTTTAAATGCAATGTTGCAAGCCTCAAAAATGTGGTAAACATGGATAACAGGAGGACATTCTGAATATGTCTTTTGATTTTGGGTTGAGTAATGACTTGTACAATTCTTCATGAGGTTCACCAGGCCATCTTCTGTCATAATGTTCTTTTGTTTCCTCTGGACAATGCTGTTGTTTTGGAGTTTTACCCTTAGAGCCAGAGAGAGTAACCAGAAGGAATGGGCTGAAAAGCCTGTGTGAGTGACGCCACCATGGATGGTGATATCCCATACTCTCTGGTTTTCACATTTAGAATGATGTCAAGTTCATACCAACTGCACTTTTCTTTTATGATACAGTTAGAGGTCGACCGATAGTGGATTTTACCGATAACAATAACTAGGTTGGCTTGCGTGGCCAGTAACCGATTAATCAATTGAGCTTTTTAAAATGGATACTGGATGAAAACAAACATGACACATAAAATAGCTCTGAACGTTATTACAAAATTTGAAATCCAGTACTGAACCATGAAAATGCACTGTACTTTTTACATATAAATAGTGCATTAGCTAATGTTAAGAGATTTTAAAATGTAAACATATATTAGTAAATGATTGAAATTAACAATGAGCGATACTTTTAAGTGGAATCTTATTGTTACTATTTCATATAAACCCAAACAGTCATGCTTAGGTGGCCATCTTTAAATATCTACTCAAACGCTATAGCATTGAAATTAAACTCATATGTATATTGTATATATACTCTCACTTTATGTGCCTCTATTTTAGAACATTTGATTATCTAATAAAAATAGCAAAATATGTTAAACAGTGACAATAAAAAAATTAATTAGTGTTCGTGTTCTCCACTAATGCAGCATCTAATCAACAAATTAAGTACTTTATGAGATGAAAACGTATACTGTATACATACCATTTCGTAGTCCGTTTTAAATCCGCATTTGTTTGCCTCGCTGTGAGCGCACAACCTCACGTGTCAAAACAAACTCCAGGAAGCGTCAGTGATAGTTTTTATGTCACCTCTAGAGGCCGCTCTCGTAGTGTGTAACGACAGCAAACTCTTCTCAGCCGCGGTCGACCTCTTGTTACAGTGGTTTACATGAAGTTCTAATATATATATATATTAACACTTTTCTGTTCTTTACCTGCTGTTATGGCCCAGGCATGTAAATTAAATTGTGCTTTGATAAAGAACCCCATGCGGTTTTGTTTTCTTTTCCTTTTCATGTCTGTCTTAGTAAGTTGGCATTTGTGTAGCTGCACAGCATGCTCCTTTTGAATACATACCAGCATGCAGCACTCATCCACCGAAATGATTCCCACATAACCAACCTATGTTATTTTTATATTCAACACAGAAACTACAGGAGATTACTCTGTTTTTTCTCTCTCTCTCTCTCTCTCTCTGTTTTTCCAAGGGCAGAAGCCGGGTTTGACTGACGTCCAGGCGGAACTGGACCGATTGACTCGAAACCCCGACTCAATGTTAACGGCCAACAACACCCCAGCGACAGAGAACGAGGCATGAGCGCGTCAACAGCATTGTCCACTCTGGAAATCAACATGTAATGACATAAAGGAGAAAAAAAAAAAACGCTATTCATGACCAAAATTCCCCCCACCTTGTGTGTAAATCAGCAAACAGACCGAACGTGTTGGGATTCTATCAGATGTATAGGCTCTGATGTTGTGGGGGAAAAAGAGGTAGATATTTGAAAAGATGCAACTGCTTTTCTTTGTTTTCATTTCCAGACCCCTTTCTATGTTTGTTTGTTTATTTGTGGTGATTAATTTTTGGTGTGGCATGGCAGGTCAGGTAATGGGTGCTCTCTCCTTAAGGAGGCAGTCGAACCTCTGAAGTGTGGGGCCTCGCTTAGCTTGGGACACTTTTAACCGCACCCATACCCCTCCTCCTGACGAGCAGATGCGCACTGCTGCTTCCGAGCAGTCGCTTCCAGTATTGAAATCTGCTGCAACTACTGCTAAAAGCCTAAACATATTCATCGAAAACAAGTACTTGCAAAAAGTATAGAGTAGTGTGTACAAACATAATTGCATTTATGCTGATGTATTTATAAAGAAGCAAGCGAATCAAGCTGTTATTTTCTCTCTGTGTTTTATCAGTGAGACGTTAAGCTTCACTTAACACGGTTAACATCACTGATGTCATGACACTAATGACAAATACCCATTGGCCTTCAGCATACAGGAATGGCAGACATTGCCACACCGCCTCTGAATTATGTAAATATGTGCTAAATATTTGCTACACAAGCTTTGATTTGATTTTTGTATTAAATTGAGTTATTTTAACAATTTATGGAGGACTATTTCAGATGAAACGAGCATTGATGAGTATCAGGCTGAGATTTTTCTTTTGGCTATGGTTGTTTTTGGAGGAGAGGGGCAGGGCAGCATCTTTCCTAGTATAACTCCCAAGTGCCTGTGTCTTAGTGGAGGTGCTTGTCTGCAAAAGAGGAATTGCACTGTAGCATCAACAGTCAATGGTTATTTTCTCTCTCTCCAGCTTCATGTAATTTATTTTTGTTTGTCTGTGGTCATTGCTTTTTTTTTTTTTTTTTTTTTGCTAAAATTACACATTTTGCCTACTTTAGTGGCCTAGTTTTTTTTTTTTTTTTTTTTTGCTGCCATAGGGAGCTTGCCTTTCTTTTCGTGAATGTCACTGTCAATATAAAACCTGTTTAGCATATTGACGGGACATTTCGTCCCACCCTCAAGTTTAAAATCGTGGCTTAAACCACTAGCACCATTCACATGTGGCCAAGCGACCGACTGTACGTCGTGTCTTCTGTCAGTCCTGACAAATGAGATATCAGATTTGTTTGTTAGCAGTTTTTTTTTATATATATATATTTATATATTTAACTTGAGGACTGATTCATGTTAAACATTCCCAGGTTCTGCGCATTGTAGGTGTCTCTGTAAGCGATCGACGCATGTTTGTTTTGTGTGCCCTGCCTGAGTGCCCACTGGAAGTGACGACTTTGCCTTCAGTGTTGCATTCACTGTTGTCACTCCACATGCTCTGTCTCTTCACTCAGGGTAGGTTTGAGTCCATATAACAGCCTCGTCCGTCTTCATAGTCAATTTCTCAACATTTTCTTCCACTACTGATGCTGTATTGTATTGAATTCCTTCAAGCAAACTGTTTTTGGTTTTTCTTTTTTGGTCATTGAACATGTAGCAAGTTTAGTTGGTTTAGCTTGACAAATCATCCACAGGCATGATGTAATGCTTTTCTTCTGGTTTTTAACCTTGCTCTTGTGGACAAACTGTAAATGGAGCAGCTAAAGTGGCTTTGAAATGATCATTACATTTTCAGATGAAAAAGGAAAACGCAGAGAATTGGAATCTGGAACCAAAGATGTAGAATCCACATGTTATGTTTATGTCGAGTAGCTGCCCTGAATTTCTCCCAGGTGGCCGATCTTGGCCGAGCCTGGAGAAGCCATCATTCCAAAACGGATCCTCTGTTTACTGCGGTGGTCTGTGTTCAATGTCCGAATTTTGTCCGAAGGTCTTTGTCCTTTCTTTTTAAGCTCTTCAAGGGAATAGACCACAAGACATGTCGAGTTTACTGTTGTTTTGCATGAACTTGTGTTCTAGAAATATGAAAAGAATAATCTTATACCAAACTAGAGATAAGGAACTCGAATGAAATTTACATTTATTCTGCATAATATTGCTTAACGGTTTCCATTTATGATGGGCAGAGCTGTAAGCATTTGCTGATATTCAAGCACAACATTAAGTCTGGACTATATACCTCTTGTTTTAGTGGTTAAGGTTTTTCATCTAAATGGACTATGTGAGAATTTCTTGGGCTGTCACTAATGAAGCCTTCGATCACATATAACATTCTACTTGCTTTTAAAAGCGCTCATAACCTTAAATGCACTTAGATGCACTTAAGTATTTCATTGCATTCTGCATAGGCTGTGTGACTGAAATCTCACTGTGTGTACTGAAGTATCACTGACACATTCCTGTGAACATGGCTCCTTTTTTTTTTCCACCGAAAGACGTGACGTTGTAACCGTTTTACCGGAAGCGAAGAACTGTTATTCATTCGTCTTAGTTATTTTTTTTTTTTAAAAGCAACACATTGTTAGCATTTAAACATTTCATTGTTTTTCCTACACAAATTTAGCTGGTTACTGATTCTAATAGTAGCTTGGTGCAAATATAAGCAAAAACCTAAAGGACTAAGAAATTGAAGAACTAACAAGCTGCTCCTGAGGTGCCTAAAGTACTTGAAAAAGCTTCCTAACTCAGAACCCATCTGTTTTCCTAAAGGAGACACACAATGGATAAAAAATCTAAGGGTGGCCACCAAAAGAAACATGTTTACTTGGCTTCAGCTTCATTGATTTATTTCCCTTGTTTGGGGATGATCGCAATTATATAATGAACAGCACATTTTGTATGTATTTCATTAGGACTAGGATGGAAGTTGACTGCTTTGTTCTGTATAATCCTTCTAATATGCACTTACCCCTGTAAGTAAGAAAATGTTGAGAAAATATTCTGGCTTCCAAAATTTTCTATACAGGAATTGAAAGACCTTTCTATTCACACAAATGACTGTTTGTGTGCTATACCGTAAAGTGAGTCTGATTGTATGGCTTTAACTTGATGCAGTATATGGCCATGTGAAATCTTGCTTTTAATTCAAACAAGATAAGGAAATGTCTTTTTTTTTCAGTCCTGGCTTAAATAAAATGCAAATCCAGACTACAACTATATTGTGATAGTTTTTGTTTGTCATATCAATTCATTTCATAAGATGCACAGTATTACAGTACTGATTAAGACCTACGTTTTGTTTGCCATACGTGACGTCTAATTGAGACTGATCATTTGAAACTGTTTTAGAGACGTCAGTTATTGGATGATTTGGGAACCAACCCAGTAGGGGGCAGTGCTGTTCTCCCAATTTCTATCTTTTGTTTGGTGTCAGATGTTTGATGAAAATGTGCACAAGCAAAATTTCCTAAATATAATCTTAAGGCTAAACACATTCTATGTAAAAGTTTATAAACTCATAGCCTATAAAAAAAAAAAACATTTAAATGTAATATGAAGTATTACATGGATTTATATTTTTAACTCTCCCTGTGTGCCTATGCGGTTACTGTTAGCATTTTCACTTTTTTTTGGTTAAATCAATCTATAAAAAACTTACTAGTCTTTACAAGCTGGTAGAAAGTATTTTTAACTTCAGAAAAATTACCAACATCACTGTCTATAAAGACTGCACACTAGGGTTTAAAGAACAGACACAATGTGGCAAGCTGGTTTAACATTTTCTTAACTAGCTAGTTTTTTAGTTGTTAAAGGTGTGCCTTTTATTTATTTATTTTTGTATTATTATTATTATTAGCTGAATGTAATCCTGTAACGAAGACTGCCTTTTTCAATTTATTTTCGGCTATAAGCAGGGGAAGAGGGGTACAACCTAAGTTAATAGACGTTTATAAGATGTCTTTAAAGACATCTTCTAAAAGTCTATTTGACATCTGTCAGGAGACGTCCTATAGCTATAGACGTATTGCAGAGGAGCAAACACTCTTAAAAATACGTCTTCCAGATGTAAATATTACATAAAATACGCTTGTGCTATCTGGGGTGTAATTCATAGAATTAATAAAAAAAATATTTTGCCACCTAAAAGTTAAAGATTTGTTGTGTTATTTGTATTACAATATTCTGTATTGCTCGGTAGCTCGATCCGGTTTGTCATCACGACTAAGGTAGGCATATGTTAGGCTACTTAGCTATGCGTGTAATGCGCGAATCGGTGGGCGGGGCTAAACCGGCCGTGTTGAAGTAGGTGTTGATCTTCTGCGGGGGTGCATGGTGTTTTAACCCCTTCGACGTCATAGTTCCCCACTTTTAAAAACGAGTCGTTTTTTAGAGGTGTCAAAAGCTTTTATTGGACTAACAAGGATGTTTTCAGTTCTGAAACTTACAGGATATTCTTATAATATTATGACCTCTTAGATGTCAAAAGGTCAAGGAAAATTTTATTTCTCAGTTCATCACCCCTTTAAATATAAAACTCATGTGTAGACTGATTTTTCTAATGATTGGACTAGAGTGCTAGCAACATTTTATGTAAACAAATACTTTAACTGGAAGTAGACAACCGATTAGTCGTTTGAACCGCTATGAATCATGGGAAATAGAACGGGCTCAGAAAAAGGTACGGAATACATGTTTAAATGGCTTGCCATAGTTACAGATTAATAGCCTACTGTGTCGTCTCGCATTTGATGAATCTTATTCATTGCGATCTTCACCTGCATAAGAGAAGACTAACTCAAAGCTTGACGTTATGAGAACAGCTGTTTTGAGCTTTGTTTCTCTGACATCAGCCGTAAGACTTTACTTGAAAGCGTCTTTCCATGCAGGACTGTAGTTTGGGGGCGGAGACTCGCAGTAACATTACATTCTGCATCCAGAAACTGTGAAATATGGACACTGCCATGAGAACAGTCGTGATCATTCGAGCTCGTTCAGCTCTATTCATTGCAGGATCAGAGCACAACACAAAGGCAGGAATGGGACTGGAGAGGTGGATGTAGTGGTTGGGCTCTGGATCTAGGTCATACAAACGGCTGGAGTTTACGGTGACCGTTTTGTAACGAGGGTTGGTCTTTGTTGAGACATTGTTTTCTGCCTGGCAGTTTTCAGAGGACCAGCGGAACACTGTTGCCAAAATCAGACCCAACTCTGCTCTTGTATCTGGGAGGGACGTGGAGACAACAGAGTTCAGCATGAGGAATAACGAGGATGCAGAGGGCTTTGATGGCGAGGCCTCCAACACCTCGATGATTTCAGGAGCCAATAGTCCGTATCAGCCGACCACCGAGCCCGTGCACTCCAGAAACGTGTTCAGGGCCATCAGGTGTGACCTGGACTATCTCAGATCACATTTCGGTATTTTAAAAGTTATCGAAGTGGTAAGTTCGAGTAGTCTCGGGGTTTCTCCTTTCCATGAAAAACTTATGAGCCTAGAAAGGTTTTCATTGCTGAACTTCAGCAAGGTGCATTGCAACTGAGTCAGTCAGTATGACTTCCCGTGAGCAATGACTTCATCAACAGAGCCATCGTTTATTGATCTTTCTTTCTTTCTTTCTTTCTTTCTTTCTTTCTTTCTTTCTTTCTTTCTTTCTTTCTTTCTTTCTTTCTTTCTTTCTTTCTTTCTTTCTTTCTTTCTTTCTTTCTTTCAGATACCATTTTTTGAATAGTTCCTCTCTGATTACGTTCTTGTCGTGTTAGACTTTAAGAAAGACAAATTTCCCATCTGTTGGATTTCATTCAAGGTAAAATATTTAAGGCAAAACAGATGTGTATCATCCAAAAAGTCATTAGGATTACTCTCCACATATTTCATTTACTCCTGATAACATTCTTTTCATATTGGATTAGTGTGAGGAGAGCAGATTTCCTCTTTTTGGGGATTTAAAATACAAATATTTCCTGTTGGAGACATGCCGA